ACATCTTATTCTAATCAAATAGGCCCCTGCATGGCCGAAAATCATACTTTGCGTGCTCAGGGCTTCCTCTACCGAGCGTGTTCTCCCAATCACTTCAAGCAGTTGCAGACGCAAGGCTGAATTATCTCCAAGATTCCTACTGACGGCCAAGCCCTACATTAGACTTCAATGTTCCAGAGTTTCGTGTAAGCATCTGTACTGTACCAAATGTCCAGAAAACTAAACATCCTTGCCAGAAAACTAAACATCCTTGCGGGCCGACAGAGAATGGAGGTATCCTTGCACAATCTACCGACCTCATGATATCCTACATGCTGGGAGATCTTTTTTGCAGTTGGTGCAAGACGCCTGCACCATGAATGCAGAAGGGCTTGAACAGAGAGCCCAGGTGGACGACCGCAAGTGCGAAGATCTCTGCACGCCCGAGCCTAAGGTTTTAGGCTTAGGGGCTAGGGTAAGGATTCAAGGTTCTGGGTCTACAGAATAGAGCCTAGGGGTTAGGGCTCGGGTATTGGAGTTGTGGTATAGAGTTGCCCAGGGGGGCCGGAGTTTAGTTTTTTCTCGCGTTGCTGGTCGTGCTATGACCGGTTGCCCAAGTCGTGTCTGGGCTAGATATTTCTCCGCCGGGAAATCCTTGACTTGATGGGGATAATATTGAATATCATCCGTTCAAGGGTGTATCTCCAGAGTTCAGGTTCATGGGTAGTCATAGGCAGAGTTAGAAGCAGGACATCTATGCTGGTAACCTGACATGGGGTACTTGTAGCCCAACTTATAACTACCCATGAACCTCCAAGTGCCATAGGAATAGGATCTTGCTGCTTCAGATGCAAAACAAGCGAGAACATTCTTCAAGGCCTGGTATTTCCATAGCAGGTGGTTTTTCAGAACCCCAACCCCACTTAGAAGATGTTGCAAGAGTCCTATGATATCCGATGCTTGTCTTATTTTGGGGCACAGCGCCTCATTGCTCTAGCATTCAAAGCAGCACTCCTGCAAATTCTGCATGTATGCTTTGGGGATTAAGGTTTAGGACGTGTTGTGTGTGTTTTCCCGTTGTCCTCGGAATTGGGGTAAGGGATACTGTGCTTTCGCTTGTCTCGTGCGCTGCCTGTAGACCCCGCTAGATAGCCCCACTTGTCACAAAATACTCCGATTCAGGGGGAACCAGGGGGCATTTGGTGAACCCATGATTGTGCTGCGAAATTTCTGCGAAGTAGCAAGTTTGACTACTAGGGGGAGAGTTCAGACGATCTTCCAAAAAATCACTACTATGGAATTCAGAATTATTCGTGCAATGTGACTACACGACAGTTAGAAGCTCTAAGTAAAGTCATTCTTGCGGAGGATTAGCCCATTTTTTACACTGCTGAAATCATCCTTTGTCAGATAGAGTGTCAAAGGGCAGCGGTGCAATTATGTAGTCAGACGACCACCCAAAGCTTCAGGGTTACATAGCTGTACGTGGGGTGTGTAGCGGGTTTTGGATTTGAGCTTTCTAGCGAGGAGTATCGAGGTGAGTACCCTTACATCAGGGTGTTTAAGTGGTACGTGGAGGGCTGCACAAGGTTATCATGGGTCCAAATCAAGAGTTGTTGTGATCCATGTATGTAGGCTTACCGGCGCCAACCGGGCTTCAACCATCCCGGCGCCGTAGAACCGCAAGACCCAAGCCTAATCGTCATGGCATAGGACAGCAGCATTACGTACCCACGATGGGATATTCTGAAAAATCTTTGAACATCTAATAAACAAGCACAATTGGAATTTTAGGAGTTGTTCCAGAGAAGATTCCGATTCCCACATGCTCCTCTCCTACTTACAGACGCCAGGGACTAAGTATGAGGGTGATAGGGGACCTTCTAAGCAGGACAGCCCGAAATAGGGGACTCTCGGCGAATACCTGGTTGCTAAGCCCCTAGCGCCCTCAACCCTTAACCCTAAACTACAGCTCAGAGCAACCCGGGTTCCATTTGGTCCAAGAGCGACTTTCGAAATTTCATCAGCGATCCAACATTCCTGAGTTCGAAGTCCTAAGCCCTGCTTCCAGTGGTTTCTTCCGATTCTTGTTCGACCGCCCCAAACTCAGAAGTTTCCAAAGGTTCTTTTATGATGAGAATGGCGAGCTCGTACAGGGGTCCGACCCAGAGACACCTCTGTCCCTCGACATGGCTTGTGGTTTAGGATTCACCGACATTTGCAGTTTCAGGTCTAAAGTTTAGGCACCGGGGTTGAGGGCTTGGAGTTGGAGATTAGGGGTTTGCGAGTAGGGTGCATGGCTGAAGTCTTTCGGAATTGGAGAAGACAATGCTTGAAGGGCCTTGCTCCTACCATGGGGTGCATGCTTTGCCTTAAGTCGTTCAAATAAAGCTATTCCTTGGCATGTGAACGGAGTAATAAAAAGTTTTCAAAAAGACAATGCAGCAGTCCACCCCTTGGAGACAAGTGTCGGCGGGTCGAAAATCTTGAGAGACTTGGTTGGAGACGTTTTTTGGAACTGTTTCTGACTTGTTTCTGAGTTTTTCCTGACTTGTTTGGAGACCAATTTCGCTTTGTTTGACTTTTTTGGATTTTTCTCGACGAAAAGTCACTTTTCCAGACCTTGCCACGCCCCCTCTTCCCACCCCTTCCACCCCCCTGCCCCCCGTCCCCTTAGAGACTGTCTTTTGACTTTTTCCTGACCTGTTTGGAGACTTGTTTAGAGACATGGGTTAGAGTTGTTTTTGACTTCTTTTAGACTTTTTACTATTCTGCTGAATTCCAGGACAATCTGGTTAGCGAACAACTTAAGCTTTGCCTCTTTGAAAACTCAAGTCTTGAAGCCGCAACAATCCACGCACAACGTTGTACAACCCTATCAATCCAAATGGAAGAATTGTCCATTTTATTGTCCATGTGATTCTCCATTGTTGGGGCTATACATCCTTAATATAACCCCTTTTCTAACCTCAATATACCATGGTAGTTTCCATTTTCTTTTGCATTATCCCAATATTTCCCCAATGTATATCACCAAGCCCTAAGCCCTAAATTCTAAAACAGAAACCCAGTATATACCCTAGACCCTAATCTACAACCCCAATGCATTCTCCATAGTTGGGGCTATGTATCCCTAAGCCCTAAACTCTTGCGGTATATCATAATAAGATCCCCCATATACCCCATATATATATATATGCGTATATATATATACACCCATTAGAATATAAGAGTTTCCCTGAGCCCTAAACTCTTCCGTGCTGTGGCAACTTTCCAGCTCCGTGGACGTGCCGACCTCCACGGTACTGTCCCTGGCAGCGGGAAACGGCGCCTCCGTGCTGCTTCTGGGACTGTGGGTTTTAGGCTTTTGGGTTTGGGGTTTAGCGGTTTAGGGGCTTAGGGTTAGGGGG